ACCGACCAGGGCTCTCCCATTCCTGCAAGATTTACAGCAAGAAAACCGCGGAAATCAGGAACAAACCCCATTTCAAAGTCTTCAACTTGTCTCTTCAAACGTGACCTTAGCTCCAAATTCTTGCTTTACACGACCAGCCTTTGTTCATCCGTTTCTGGTATCGCAACGTCTTCCCTCATTATACTGGTGTACTGATCGCTGACGGAAGCACCCGCCTGGTAAAAGAGTTCAACTACTGCAGGTAACATTCCGTAGTATCTCTTCAAGTCATTTATAAGCGGCTCACTACTCTTGGGATCACGAATGTGCCATACATAGACGGGAGGAACAATGTCATTGACAGTTGCCTCTTGCCAATCATGTTGACCGTCTCTCATCTGGTGCTTGAAAGCTTGACAGTTTCTCACCCTGTGACCCTTTGTCCCAACTTGGACCTCGGGACAGTATCCGCATGTCTGGACAGCATACTTCTGCATGAGTTTAGAGGCTCCTGATCTCATTCTTTCCCATGCATTCATGCCTCGAGCAGCCACTCCTGCATTCAAAACAATGGTATCTATATTTGTTAGATTATGAGTTATACAATAACGCAGATGATGTTGCTTGACACTGCAAGTTGTCATCAGAAGACGAAATACAAACCTTGTAAGTGATCAGATTCCACATCGACAAACTTGACATCCTTTGCTGGTTTTTTCATTTTCTGCCAGAACCCATAGGTGCTAATATCTTTTCCTGGTACATCTTCTTTGGGAAACCTCTTCTCAAAATCTATTAGTCTACCCGATAACCAATAAAGAGGGAAGACTCTTCTTCTAGTAGGATATTCAGGAATATCAAAGCCTGCTTGGATACACAATTCCACAATTGCCGGTATCCTATCCACCTGCAACCGCTCATTGTGAGAAACAGCCCTCCCTAGCCGATCATACAGATGAAATGATTCCGTGAGAGGTAATATGTGTTCCACATTCCCTATTTCCCAGGTGTGCTCTTTACTTGCTAGACTGCCACTAACATTGCATGACCGGATCAGGTGTGGTGGATGACCAACATGAACTTCACCACACACACTGCATAAAAGAGAAAGTAACAGCAAAGATACCCTTTTAGACAAAGTCTGCAAAGAATTGGACCCACAGAACAGATTGCCCAATATATGTCCATATTTTCTTCATTCTTTTGTAGGAGCAAATTCTTCATTCTTCCATACCATTGAACAATTGCCCAAGATATGTCCATATTTTCTTTCAGGATTGCTTTTCTGAATGTAAATACCATTTTTCTAGCCGAAAAGCATGCTTAGACCATTTTCAGGAAACTTAACATGCCAAGCTTTAACCACAGAACAGAACAGTGCAATTTTTTCCAACATTGCAAGTACATTAATTTCTAATCAAAGTAGAGCCCCATCCCTCTATACAATTCCTTTTCTTATTTCCTTTATCCAGATAAGTATCTGCTGATTTATAGCTTCTGCAACTAGAAAGATGATTCCATAACTTACTTTTACCTGCATGTGTATACCGTAATGCTCTGGGAAACTCTTGAAACACAGGCGAATAACTCTGACCTCGCAGCATAAACTTCATGAGCAACCGGAATTAGTTCCTTAACCAATAATCCATTTTCCGGAGGCCCTAGAACCTTTTCACGCACTAAGAGCCTCTCTTTCCTCTCCTCTCTGCCTCTACGCTTGAGCTCGGTTATATGTGTAACCCACGGCTTCCGCTCATCCCTTTTAAGCTTCCTTGGAAGGTCAGTGTCAACTGGCGATGTCGAGAACATTTGACAGGAAAGCTTCAATAATTTATTGAGAATAGAAGTTGCTCCAGACTTTTCAACACTCATCTCATAGTGATATCTGATATTTGGGACTTGTCTAGACAGCATAACTCCTCGGAAGAACATGGTTCTGCATCAGAAAAACACGTGAAACCGAGATGGAAAAGCTGTAAACAAGACCGCAACTTTCTTCCTCAATTGCAGAGTCTCTCTATATTCCATATGTTATAAACAGAGCGATCACGACTTAGTCAAGCATTTTAACAAACACATTACGTGCAAAAAGCGAAGAACAGAACACACCTCGCAACGTGAATTCTGATACTAGCCAAGACCCACGAAACTAATGGGTTATCTAATAAAGTTGGAGAACTAGGTTTTCCTCTGTGGAATTATGATTCCGCGATTGGATAAGAAGAAAAAAACCCAGCAGAAATAGCCAAAGGTCCAACCTTTAAGAAGTACTGAGAAGCTAGCGGATTCCCACTCTTGACAGATGAATTCTTCCTCAGAGAAACACGAATAGAGGATTCAGACAACTGCAAGGGAAGAGATTGATGCAAAGGGCTCACCGTAGTTTAGGCGCTAAACCGACAGCAACAAAGCCATCCTGACTCCTGAGCAAAGACGAGAGATTTATTAAGCACAGTTCGATTCGATCAGCGAACCGAACCTAACCGGAAATTGAACCAATTTAATTCCACTGAAACTAACCGGTTATTAATGGGTCCACCCGCATCAGAGCGCAACTCCGGAACCAACCGACCAGGGCTCTCCCTTAGATTCCGTCGTTGATGGTGTGATGGAGCTCTGATCTAGAAACATCGGAACAAAAATGGCGCCCAAGCTCCGATTTTTGCTTCTCCCACGACTCATGTTTTTGTCTTTCCTTCTACTCCTCTTGTATTCTGTCCTTCTCCGCCGCCCTACCACCTCGCCGCCCGCCTCTTCTCCACCGTGCGACCTCTTTTCCGGCCGATGGGTGTTCCAACCGGACAACCCGAAACCGCTGTATGACGAGACTTGCCCGTTCCACAGAAACGCATGGAACTGCATAAGGAACAAGCGGGAAAACATGGGTCGTCTCAATTCGTGGAGATGGGTCCCCAACGGCTGCGGGTTGAGCCGAATCGACCCCGCCCGATTTCTGGGGCTGATTAGGAATATGAATATAGGGTTCGTAGGGGATTCTCTGAACGAGAATTTCTTGGTCTCGTTTCTATGTATACTTAAAGTGGCGGATCCGGGTGCTAAGAAGTGGAAGAAGAAAAAGGCTTGGCGAGGAGCTTACTTCCCTAAGTTCAATGTCACTGTTGCTTATCACAGAGCTGTTCTTCTCGCCAAATATCAGTAAGTTTCGTAATTGTGAAATTGTCTTTCCCACTGTTGTACTGTGAGCATTCATGTAAATTGTTCGTGAATGTTAGCTCTTCGTAATGGAATTGTAGACCTTTGGAGGAATCCGCCTAAAGTCTGGATTTCCAACTCAGGATCATGAGCGAAATGGCACTTGTGTAGCATTGTTAGGTAGTTTTAGAAATGTTCAGTCTCAGAATGGAACTCCAATTTCTTCTTCCGGTGTGCATATATATTATAGTTCTCGTGTGGATTGGAATTTTCTCCTGTTGGACGAATAGTTGATTGTGATTCTTTGATTTATCAACTTGCTTGATGGGTGCCAAATGCTGTTGGCTTAAGAGCTCAAAGTCAGGATTTTGGAGGAAAAAGCTTTGAGATTTTTATGGACAGAAGCTCAGATTGAAGAGATGAAAAATCGTATATGTCCTGATGTGTATAGCAGGCATTAAATTGTTGAAGTTACTTGTTTTGTGTGGATTTGTTTCTAACCGTATGAGTTTGACGGAATGGTTCATATGACTGCTGTATATAACTAGTTCAAACATCGAGTTATGCTTTATAGGTACATTTTAGCTCTGTATTTTTGGTTAATTGCTCTCATCTCGCCTCGTCTTACTTTCTTCAATGGTGCTATATTCTCTGGCCTTGTGTATTCAGCAGGTTATCATAAACTATTATGTGATATTTCTGCTTGCCGTGCATGTCATAGTTGAAAAGGCCTTGTATGTTATTATATACATAACATTGCCTGCCTTATGTCCTTGTATACTGATATGATAAAGGTGGCAGCCGAAACCATTTGCAGACACTGTTCAAGACGGTGTGAAAGGAATATATCGGGTGGATGTAGATACTCCTGCAGATGATTGGGTCAATATCACTAGCTTCTACGATGTCCTCATTTTTAATACCGGCCATTGGTAAGGTTACTCCTTTCCCTTCACCTATGCCTATAGTTGGTCTGCCTGAAAATTTTAGTCGTGATTCAATCTCTGCCATTTCTTGTATATGTTTACTGCAAAATGTGGAAAGATGACTGAGTGTAAGCCAAGTTCATATATTTCTCAGGTGGGGTTATGATAAGTTCCCTAAAGAGACGATGCCTCTTGTCTTCTATAGCAAGGGAAGGCCTATTGATCCTCCTTTAGAGATATCCCAAGGCTTTGAGGTAGTTCTTGAACATATGGTATCCCATATCCAAAGAAAAGTTCCAGCCAAGACCCTGAAATTCTGGCGCTTGCAATCACCGAGGCACTTTTATGGTGGTGAATGGAACCAGAATGGGAGTTGTTTGTTCGATAAGCCACTTGATGAAAACGAGGTACCGAAAATGTAGAAAAGCTGCTTCTACGTATACATGGCTATCAAACTTTCTATATCCTTCTCATAGAAAATGAACAATCTTTCCAAACCGATTGTTGAAGATTGATTATGATGTTGGAGCTAACCCCCAGACAGCTTGACTTGTGGTTTGATCCCAGCAACAACGGAGTGAACAAAGAAGCGAGACGTCTTAACCATTTCATCAAGAACGCGTTACAAGGGACGAATATCAAGTTACTCGATCTGACCCGTCTGAGCGAGTTCAGGGCAGATGCTCATCCTGCTATTTGGTTGGGGAAGCAGGATGCCGTCGCGATATGGGGACAGGACTGTATGCACTGGTGCCTGCCCGGTGTTCCTGATACATGGGTCGACATCTTGGCCAAACTCATTCTCAATGACTTGGGAACTGAGTGAGGGATGAATCCAGATCATCCTTGCTTGGACTGTCTGAAAAGAACATTACTTTGGACAATCGAAACCAGAAACTGAAAGATTTCCCATTTGGATTCCATTGTAAATGGCTCTGTGTTGATGAGATTATACCATTTCTTTGTTTATTTGTTGCTTCAATAGTAACCATTGGAGTATTTTCTGAGTTCTGTTTCTATGGCTTTTATTCGACATAAGATTCATTAGTGGATAACTATAAAAAAAAATTAAAAAAAATGGCACTTTCTTGGTTTTTTTTTTTTTTTAAACGTGAGATAGATAGAAATCAATAGGGTAAATTTGTTTCCGACAGGAAATGGCGTGTGAGATGAGATAGACGAGAAGCTGAGCTCAGAGAGAGAAAGGTATGTCGCTGAAATTGCTTGTTCTTCCCCAATACTCTATCTCTAATCGAAACCCACCGGAAAATCCCCGGTTTTACCACCCGAGGACCCGACCCGTCTCTGGGATCCGGTGCATCAGGAGGGCTTTTGATGGCATCGAAAACAGGAGGAGGAAGAGAATGAGCGATTCGGAGCTGGCGAAGGATCTGGCTCGAGAAATCGCCAAGGCCGACACGCTCTCGGACCAGAGGCGGGAAGCCATGAAGAAGAGCAGAGAGATTCTGTGGGGCGAATTCTGTCGGCACATGTGTCTGAAAGAGGACGAGCTGAGGAACAAGTGGGGGAGGATCGAGGAAGACGAGAAGTGGGTTCTGGTCAGAGGGTTCGTCGGCGAATGGGGTGCGGATTTTCAGCCCTTATCCGTTAGGTCTGTGAAAGAGATGGTGGAAGAAGAGTGTTTGGATGCCGAGAAAATGATTCGTTCGCAGTCCTCATCGTCCTTGTCTTCGTTTTCTGGGTGGTTTCCTGGATTGAAGAGAATTATAGGGTTCGAATGAATGAAATGATCGAGTTCGAGGTTATAATAAACAAAGTTCATTTGCTCCTTCGTCTTAATAGAACATCTGCATTTGCATTTGATGCATCTGATCATTCATTCACATCTTGACAGAGAAAGTGAGGTTCTTCCGTATAAAAAGGAAAAATCGAAACTTGAGGCAGTCTCAATTTCTGGGTATCAATGGAAGCGAACCCACTTGTAGATAAGAACACAAGATCGTAATTTTGCAATTCTCTGCATTTTGCTATTATTTCGATGAGGAACAAAAAAAAAAACGCAAACTTTTGGGCGAAAGATGGGTTCTTGCATAAACACGGTTTCCTTTCTTCAAGATCTCACACTACTTCAAACTGTGGGATTTCGGCTCCTGGTCTGAAGCCCTTGTTGGGTAGATTTCTAAGAACTGAGATCTACGGCAGCCTCCAAGGTCAAACAAGCCGTGTTGTCGGTAGAGACGATGGACAGTTATCGTAGGCAGAAGCCAAAATCATGGTTCTGCAAGAGTCAGGTTCAGGTCTCTATGTGTTTCTCCCAACTGGTGAAGTGGAGGAAGAGAACTGAAATTGAGCTTCAGTTCCATGAGAACAGATAATATTTGCTCAATTTCATGGCTAACCTGATCGATCGCATCATGTGCTGCTTTAGAGCAAAATAGCTTTACTTCTTAATATCATTGACCAAATGCATGTTTTACATTACTAAGCTCCATTTGTCAGACATGGCTGTAACAAGATGCAGCACCACACGGTGGAAAACAATAGCTCATACCAAACAGCAAATCATAAACAGAACTAGGACATCTACATTGGAGTACCAATCTGTAGAAATGACTACAAAAAACAAAACAGAACAGAACAACGATTGGACAAGAATCAATGGCAGGGAGATTAGTTCCACGAAGTGCCCTGAAGTGTCCATGCTGAGACAGAGAGCGTCCTCTGGCGACCAGGTCGAGTGGCCTCATGCATGTAGTCTCCGTATGGACCTTGGTGAGGACTTCTTTGAGCCACAGGACGCAGCCTCAAGCGCGTGGATCTTGGCGAGAGAGTAAGAACATGATCTTCTTCTTCTTCTTCTTCTCGATGGTATTCAGTGTCTGCATGACCATCGTATTGTCCGTACTTCTTCTTTATAAGGGTTGATCAGTGAGGGTAGCAAACCCATTGGAGTGGAGTGGAGTTCTTCGAGCTGTTTTTAACGTCTCTTGGCGGGTAAGGAAAAAAAACAAAAGGAAAAGAAGACACGGTAAAAAAAAAAGGCATGTGAGAAGGCGAACTGGTTTTTCATTGTTTCTTTAAACTACTAAAACGAAAATATCTCCACATGGAATGTTTAAAGATCGTGTCTTTGACATAACTGAGTTTCCCATGGCCGTAGAGGAAGAAGCCGGCGAGTTTCTGTCTGCCGGGCGAAACCCTAGAGTCATGGAGACGGATCCAAACTCCATCACTGACACGATCGAAAACCCATCCTGGTTTTCTCCCAGAAAGTAATTCCCTTTCCTTTGTTAGATTTTCTGGGTCGATTAGAATCGGGAAAGTGTGCAAAATCTCGAGGTAAAGGTTGAAGGTCTGAGCATCTGAGTGCGAACGAAGCAGGCAACTTCCGGATAGCGCTGTCTGGAAAAGCTTAGTTTTGCATTTCGCGAATCATTGTTGTTCCCTACTTCGTTTCTTTAAGCAATCGTTTTTTATGTCCCAGAATCGAATTTCGGGTCGAAATCAGTCCTCTGAAAATGCTGATTATAGCAAGTTCTGCTCGTTTAAGGGTTTCGGGTTTCGCTGCTTGATTGTAGGGGGGTTGGTATGTTATGGTTTGGTTACCATAACTTCACTTGGATTGAAGATCAGAAGTAGATATTCACCCGAGGAATTGGCATTGAGATGCAGTTCTTGTACTTGTATAGATTAGGTTTCATATGGTCCCTTCAATTTTATTACTGGTTTTCTTGCTGTATGTAAAGACAGTAATCAGAAAGACATCTATGGACTAATATTGGTCAGTGAATCTATAGTCCTTGAACTTCTTTATTCTTGGGTTCTTGTGAGTTCATGATGAGGTTTTATTGTTTCATAAATTGTAGGCTGCTCTCTGTGTTTTGCATAATCAACTTACTAAATTACATGGATCAAGGAGCCATAGCAAGCAATGGTGTTAATGGGAGTCTTGAAACCTGCAACTCAATTGGTACATGTTCACCTGGCAGCGGAATCCAGTAAGTTTCGGTCAAAACCTGTAGATTTTGTTGTTCTAATGCTGAGTTGGGTTGATCTTTCATGTACCACTCTATGATCCTTGCATTCATTTTTTATGTAAAATATGGCTGTTATTCAAACATTCTGTCGTTGCATTTCTAGGTTTTCTTCTTTCTAGTAATTGTTATTGTTGTGCACAGGGGAGATTTTAACTTGACCAACTTCGAGGATGGTGTTCTGTCATCTGCTTTTATCGTTGGACTTCTTGTGGCTTCTCCCATATTTGTATCTTTAGCCAAGAGGTAAGTACTTCTTGATTCTCTGAGATTGAATCCAAGACACTGATTACTGAAGGAATTCAGTAACAAGACTGATTACACCTCACTCTTTTTCTCGTATTACTGCAGTGTTAATCCATTTACACTTATTGGAGTTGGACTATCTGTCTGGACTTTTGCTGTTATCGGCTGTGGTCTTGCTTTCGATTTCTGGTCCATTACGATCTGTCGCATGTGAGTATTCTGTCCTTTGCTTTCCTTACTTTCTTATGTATCATGTTCTGGTAATCTTTTACATATATTCTTATACCTTGATGCCCCCTCATAGGGTTGTGGGCGTTGGTGAAGCGTCATTTATAAGCCTTGCTGTCCCTTTTATAGATGACAATGCCCCAGTTGATCAGGTATAAACTATCCGAGAAATATTGATTCTTTGATCCATAGTTTCCGGGGAAATTTTTAGTACTAATGAAATCCCCACAGAAAAGGGGTTACTACACGAAAGCTGGCATGATGCCTCGTTCGCTTCAGGGTTCACCCCTTTTGATTCGGTTTGCAATCTTTTGCTGCATTAAGTGTTAAAAAAGTATATCTAAACATGAACCTGTATATAATCTAATCGGTATACTCTGCTTCATAACTCCATTGCCGTGGTGTTTTTATCCAGAAAACAGCATGGATTTCTATATTTTACATGTGCATTCCAACTGGATATGCTCTTGGCTATGTTTATGGTGGACTGGTGAGTTATCTGCCTTTTTTGTTCTTTCTTCAGCTCATGATTTTTGAACTATAGGGTTTTGCTTTTCTCTTGGTTTTTGTATGTATTGTTCATTGTATAAGAAAGACTCGTCCTTTTTTCTCTTATAGGTCGGGGATGCTCTCCACTGGCGTGCTGCATTTTTGGGAGAAGCAATACTTATGCTTCCTTTCGCTGTTCTATGTTTCGTTATGAAGCCTCTGCAGCTGAAAGGTACGTGTTAGGATATGCAAATCAACTTGTCCTTGTTTTAAATCTTTTACATATTTTCAAATGATACACGAAACTCAGGTTTTGTCTCAGCTGAGACATCGAGAGCTCAGACAGATAATTTAGACGTTCAAGGTTTGTGTTCTTCTCCCGATGACCCATTAGCCATCTAGTTGTTTATTTCTACGCATCTTTAGGCACAAAAACATGAAACTCTTCACATGCATTTCATATACATATTTTTTTGTCCCTCATAATATTTGTCTGATTCTTTCTCGTAGATCAGGAGGTGAACCGATTAGTTATCAGTTTTCGATCATTATGAAAGATATGCAGGTGCTCTTGCTCGATAAAGTTTATGTGACCAATGTTCTTGGTAACTATCCTTCTTCTTCTACATGAGAACAGAATCTACACATTTGTTTCTTGTGTCTATGTGATTTATTGTTGTTACTGTTGTATTTCCTTTGTCAGCATACATTGCATACAACTTTGTGTTAGGCGCATATTCATACTGGGGTCCAAAAGCTGGTTATAACATCTACAACATGGTAAAAATACTAAATTCCCTCACATACATTTCATATGCTTTCTGTTGTATTCTTTTTATTGGTTAATCAAATGTATTATGGTCTGTATGAACATTGAGATGGTCATATTTGGACCTTTTTTGCAGAGTAATGCAGATCTGATATTTGGAGGAATCACAGTTATTTGTGGAATCTTGGGCACAATATCAGGGGGTTTGATTCTTGATTATGTAGATTCCACTATTTCAAATGCTTTTAAGGTATAACAACTTTTCTTAGACGATAAACAGATTTTATATGAAAAAAAAATTATATCTTCTCATTCTTCACCCCTTCTCGGTTCATGTAGAATATTCGGTATTTTTCTTAGATGATAAACAGAATCTTGGGTATTTTTGCAGCTTCTTTCAGTGGCAACATTCATAGGAGGATTATTCTGCTTCTTTGCTTTCTGTTTCAAGAACATGTATGCTTTCTTGGCTCTTTTTGCTGTTGGTGAATTGCTCGTCTTCTCCACAGGGGTATCTCGGTTTTCATACTTCAGATTACTTTTTTTTTTCGCAGTTGTTTCTTGCTTCGCTAATCAACCTTTTCGGTTAATCCTTTATTGTTTTCATGCTTAGGGTCCGGTGAATTATGTAAATCTCCATTGTGTGAAACCAAGTTTAAGACCACTGTCAATGGCAGTGTCCACAGTTGCCATCCATATCTTTGGAGATGTCCCTTCCTCACCACTTGTTGGGGTTCTCCAGGTTAGTTTTCTTCCTCAGACTGGATTTTACTCTTTAGTTATAACAGTTCATCAATCTTGATTCAACTCCGAGATGTATAATCCTTCATATATGTGTCATTGCTTTGTAAATGAATGAGATTATGCTGATGCAGGACTACGTGAACAATTGGAGAGAGACTTCTCTTATTCTCACATCAATTCTCTTTCCCACAGCTGCAATATGGTTTACAGGTTAGGTCCAAACATTACACTGAAATGAGTGAAAGCGGAAGTTTCTCACTAAGGATGATTTTCTGCATTTTGTGAATATGCTACAGGAGTTTTCCTGAACAGTGTGGACCGACATAACGGTGATGATTCGGAGATTGATACAGTGAACAGGGAATCAACCATGACGATCCCTCTGCTCGAAGAAGGCTTTACGCAGCTATGACATTCTTGTCAGAATAACTATGGTGTAAGAACCTTTTCTTGACCATCTTGTGTATGATCCACATAACCATTTACTTACCTCCATTCGTATTTCTTGTAGAACTGTTCCCTTCAGTGGTGCAAATCGTGAATGGAATCATGGGTTGCGCAGAGAATTTGTCCTAGGAAACTAAATCCTGCAACATCATCAGATGGCAGAAGCTAATAGCCTCTGCCCTGTCATAATCATATCCTCATGTATGTATTTCATCAGCAGTAAACCAACAACCTCCTAATCATCTTGTAGCTTATGAACCAAGGCTCAAACTTTCTCAATATTAGCTAAGAACGAATCTTGATGATCAAAAAACATGAATGCAGTGTCAAAGTGACAAGGTCTGTCATTATTCCAGCTCATAACTGGAAATTACAAAGTACATTCTCCATATGTTCAGACAAGTGAAAGGTCACCAGCAGGAACTGATCTCTTGACAAGTTTAGCCCATGATTCATTCGTCTCATGGATGACCTTCAAAGCATAATCCTGCAGCGGCCCGACCAAACATTGATTCTCAGATTATTACCAAAGAGTAAAGACAGGGGAACAAAGAAAGAAAGAATGATCATATGAATTACTTTGTTCGCCGGTTTGTTTCCAAGACCAAACATGTTTGCAGGCTTTCCATCTGGGATCTTGTAGTCTCTGAACCACTCTCTAATGGCCGTAAGAGTACCCTGTAAATATAACGTTAAAGGTCAGAACCAAAGGAGATAGACCTAAAAGTTACAGCTTTCACATGATTATGTGGACTCTGCTTACGGGAAAATGCTTCTCGACGTCATCAACATCATTCACAAGATGAGCTTTAGGGTCATCCAAAGAAATAGCAACAATCTTCCAGTCCAATTCTCCCTCGTCAATCATGGCTAAAGCAGCCAAAGGCTTGACCTTTAGAACCTCACCTATCTTCCTCCGGGTTTCGCCAATCTCAACAACATCAACTACACATGATTCATGAACAAGGATATGCACATATTCATTAGAACATTTTGGTGCAACTCTCAGAAGAAAACAAACTACAAAAAAAAAAATGAAGATCACTAGCTCAAAGTTACCTGGGTCATTATCCCCTAGAGCACCTTCAACTTCAGAGTTTGCATGAGAGGGGTCTTCCCATGTCTGTGGAAGCAACCCATAGTTCCAGTTTATGTTGTACCTGTATAAACAAAAACATTTTAGATATGACCAATCTGGAAAGTGAAAGATGCACAATCTAAGACATTTAAGTTCTGAAACAGGCTCAGACCAAAAACAGATCAAATCGCAAAAAGACAAGTCTGCAGAATCAAACTTACGGGTAATATCTGAGTTTCCCCTTCTTTGTGTCTTGCTTAATCGGAGTGAAAGGCTCATCAGTAGCAACCTCCATCTTTGCACTCGACTCTTTGGGAATTTCCACTATGAAGTTGAAAACGCCATCTCCCAAGTGCAATGGTATATCATGCCATGGAGAAACCTATACACAAGTTCTTAATCATTCTTCAGTCTGTACAGAACATGGAATAACCATACCGAATATACTCCATTTTCGAACGTATATCTTCAAGTGTTGGACTTTCACCTGAATTCCATAAACATTCCCGGTCAGATAGAATTGTAGATTCAACTTATGGGCAAGTGCAGAACGATCCAAAACTCCCGAAAAACTCGTAATTTCGACAAATCAGAAGGAAAAAAAATGCTCATGCATTTTCTCAGTAACCAAACAGAAGCGAACACACGGAGAAAAGGAAAAACAACCGTACCTTCTTCCCGGAGCCATCGAGGAAGAAAACCCGATAATCTAGGGTTTCGGGCTGACCGTCTTCCTTGATCTGAACCAGAGGATTGTATATCGCAGTGCAAGAAAATGGTCTCTTCGATTTCAACAGCAAGCCTCTCCGGTTGAAGCAGATACCTCCAACACCGCCGATTTTACCCGCCGGGAGAAGGAACGGCCGCTTCGCTAGCAGACACGACGCCGTATGACTGGCGGGAG